ATGTCAGCAACAAACAGGACGCTACCAATCTGCTCTCTGGCCAGCCTGCCGAATGGTTTCTTCAGGTTTCCTCCTCAGGAAACATCACCACCTAGACCACCAATTTTCCGCATGCTGGTCACCAAACCTTCCACCCGAGCTCCTTTTGACCGTCGGCGACCTCCTAACGATCAGCGTACGCCACATACGACGAGTTCAAGGAAGCGATCCTCAGACGCGCAGCACCAAACCCTCTGACAGCGTTGAGCTCTTTCCTCTCCTCCGACACCACGGACACAACCGTACACCTTCGGAAATTCTCCGCCACTTCCACTCACCCGCACCGGCATGACCTTCCCGCCAGACGTCATGCACTCCCTATTTCTCAAACGGCTGCCCGCAGAATATCCAGCAAAATCCTGCTGGTATCAGACGCCCTATTAGAGCAGTTTGCTCTGAAGGCCGACGCGGTCATCGCAGCGAAAACACGCGCACCTACAGTAGCAACTGTTCCGCACCCCTTCGCCGCCGCGCAGAGAACAGAACTTCAGGCGCCCTTCACCATCAAGACACCAGTCCCGTTTCCGCACCCCGACGCCAAGGCGCCGCCAAGACGACCTATGCGCTACTTTCTGTTATTATCATAGAGTTTCGGCTCCGACGCACCGTCCTTGCACCTCCTGGCAGGAAACGGATACCGCGGAAACTGAGTGCGCCAGTTTTCCGCGAGCCTCGTCGGCGTTTACTGTACGTCTGGGATGCCTCTTCTCCCTCTGTTTCCTCATCGACACGGGCAGAGGTGAGCCTCTCTCCCGGCCTCCCACAAGGATAAACGCCTTCCCTTCTCGTGCGCATTGGAAGCTGGCCAACGCGACGCCATCAAAGTCCACGGCAAGCGTTCGGAGACCTTCTCTCTGACAGGCGCCCCCAGCCAACGGTTCCAATGGATCTTCCTCATTGCAGACGTCCCTCAAACCTATCATCGGCGCGATTTCCTAGAGCACTACGGTTTGTCAGTCGACCTCCAGGATAAGGCTCTCATCCACCAATTCAGATTCCGCACACTCGCCGCCCCGACTCTGGTAAGTGTTCCTTCAATATACACAATGTTTCCCAGATCCTCCACTTACAAGGACATCCTGCAGGAATTCCCGGCTTTATCCAAGCCGATCAACTGGGCTACCAAACCACGGCATGAGGTCCGTCACCACATCGTGACTCACGGTCCCCCTGCCCACTCTAAGCCGTCCGCTCGCGCCCGCGACAGATGTTGCAGCGCCAAGTGGAGTTTGACCCATGATGCAGTTAGGATCATACGCCTTCCAGCAGCAAATGGGCATTTGGTGAAGAAGAAGGATGGTGACTGGGGCCCGTTGCGGTGATTACTGTCATCTCAAACACGGTCACCGCCCCCGACAGATACCCGCTGCCCGCACCTGCACTCCTCCCACAAGCTGTCCGGCTGTACAGTCTTCTCGAGGATCGACCTCGTGAAGGCGTACCACCAGGTTCGATCGCTGAGGAGGACATCCCCAGACGGCCGTCATTACACCGTTTGTTTGGCCTGTTCGAGTTTCTCAGGATGCCCTTCGGTCTCCACAACGCCGCTCAGACCTTCCAAGCGGTTTATCAACGACGTGACTCCGCGGCTTGAGGGGTCTCTTCACCTACATCGACGACATCCTCGTCAGCACCTCAGACGACCTTCATCTCCGCGCCTTCTTTTCGGCAGACTGCAAGAAGCCGGGGTCGTGATCAACCCAGGGAAATGTCTCTCGGGTGCAGCTTCGCTCTTTTCTAGGCCACAACCGTCACCCTCAAGGCATCACCCCAACACAGGAGAAGGTTACCGCCATAAGGAAGTTCCCCAAGACTGCACGGAGAAGCAACTTCGAAAATTTCCTGGGGATGTTCAACTTTCTTCCAGGAGATTCGTTCCCAAGTGTACCAGCTCTTCAACCCCTTCGCGCCCTTATACACCTAACAGGGCTAGCAGAAACTGTGGACGCCCCCTACAAACGAAGCCTTCGAAGCCTGCAAGGAAGCCTGGCCTCCGCCACCCTGCTGAACCACCCGCTGCCCGAGGCTCCTCTCAAGCATAGCCGTCGACGCTCCCGACACTGCATCGGCGCTGTCCTCCAGCAACGACAGGGTAAGCATGGGGAACCTCTTGCCTTCTTTTCACAGACCCTGTTGCCACGCAGGTCACGATACATTGCCTTCAGAAAGGAACTCCTGGCAGTGTACTCCGTGGTGAGGCACTTCCAGCCGTACATGGAATCTCAGGAATTCCACATCCTGACAGACCATAAACCCCTCACCTTCGCTCTACACTCGAGGACCCGTCGCCAATCCCTTCGAGAGGAGCGCCACCTGGACTACATCTCACAGTTCACGACGGACATCCGTCACATTCGGGCGCGGACAACGAGGCCGAAGATGTCCTCTTGAGGGTTACCATAGTTGCAGCGACCCACGCCGACGACGCTGTGGATTACCACCTGGTCAGCAGTGAACAACGCCAGGACGCGTCCATGACTCCGCTCATAGAGGGCCAGACTTCCCTTAGCCTTGAGAGAGTCAAAATCCCAAATTCCCGCGACGACCTTCTCTGCAATGTCTCCCTCGGCTACTCACGACCATACATCCCGCCTTCCCTCCGCCAGCGATTCTTCGTTGCATACCACCAGCATCGAGGCATCCGGGCCACCCAACATCTCATTCCGCGGCAAAGTCGTATGGCCTGGCATTAACAAAGACGTTCGACAGTGGTGCCGCTTGTGCATCGATGCCAGAGGACCAAAATCTACAGGCATACGAAATCTCCCTTCCAGACGTTTCCCATCCCAGACGAAAGGTTAAAACACATCCACATCGATATAGTAGGACCCCTGCCTTCGGACGACGGCTACAGCTACATCCTGACAATGATCGACCGCTTCACCAGAGGGCCGAGGCTACGCCCATCCGCAACATTACCGCAGCGACGGTCGCCAGGACATTCCTCAGCACCCGGATCTCCTGCTTCGGCACGCCGGATACCGTCACTACCGATCGCGGCGCCCAGTTCGAGTAGAAACTCTGGCGACAGCTGATGGACTACTTGGTTCCAAGAGAATCAGGACGACCGCCTACCACCCCTGCGCCAACGGCATGGTCGAGCGACTCCACCGGCATATGAAGCAGGCCCTGACATCCTCCTCCTCCAACAGGAGGTGGGTCGACCAATCTCCCGCATGT